TCCCCTCTATTGAAGCTTCAAGTGCCATTTTAAAAGCAGCGCTGGCATCTTCCCTAATGGGTGCTTTCCTTGGAGTCTCTGCTGGGAGTGGGGTGAGGAGGGAGACCGCACAAAGGAATGTGTGGTCCCTCTGGGCTGGGGTTTGGATAAAATTCTGCCAGAGGGATTTTTTAAGGTGTTCGAGGGAGGAGGGCAGTGCATTGAGGAGGAGGCCCTTCCTTAAACAGTGCATTGAGGAGGAGGCCCTTCCTTAAGGGAGGATTCTCTTGAACCCGGGTATTTACTTAGAATATTCTGCAAGATAGCCATTAGGAGAAATTTTCCTTTTGTCTGAAGACAGGAGGCGTTAAGAATTAGAAAGAGCAGGAGTGGAAAATTTAGGAACTCTTTTGAAACGAGGGTTATACGTTATAAGGGTTATAAACCTGAATTTAGGGGATGGAGCAGGAACCCAGTCTTATTCAACTCGATGGCCTCACCATTGCCTTGCACACAGTGGGGCTTCCATAAATGCTTGGGAAGTAAACTTCATCTTTATTTGATTTTCATAGTGCTCGAGGACTCCTGGCAGTTAGATGAAGTAAAAATATAATGGGCTTTGGAGTTAGACATCTGGGTTTAGATCCCAGCTCTGCCTAGCTGTGTGACCTTGGGAAAGTTACTTAACGTCTCTGATTCTCAGTTTTCTCATTTGTAAAATGGGTAATAACTCACAGGGTTTTGGTGAGAATCCATTAAGATAACTTAATGATCCACTTGATCTATTGGGTATTCAGTAGGGGCTCAGTAAATATTAGTTTTCTTCCTTCCTCCTGCTGTGTTCTTATTCGTCAGTGGTTCTCAACTCCATCTGCACATTAGAATCACGTAGGGAACTTTTTAAAAACAGTCGTTCAGGCCCCACCCTTTGAGGTTCTGATTGAATTGGCCTGTGGTGGGGCCTCAGCATGGGTATTTTTGAAAAGCTCCTCTTGAAGGATACATTTTTTAAAAACATAAAATCAGGGCCGGCCCTGTGGCTTGGTAGTTAAGTGCGCGCGCTGTGATGCTGGTGGCCTGGGTTCGGATCCCGGGTGCACATCAAGGCACCATTTCTCCGTTCATCCTGAGGCCGAGTCCCACATACAGCAACTAGAAGGATGTGCAGCTACGACGTACAACTACCCACTGGGGCTTTGGGGGGAAAAAATAAAATAAATAAAATCTTTAAAAAAAAAAAATAAAAAAAAAAAAACATAAAATCATGACTCCCAGAGAAACATAAAATGAACACATGGCAAAGATTTATTTAACTTGTTAATTAATGAGGGAACTAGTAAGATGTTACAACTGGTTCAAATAATTCAAACAGGGCCTGCCCCGTGGCTTAGTGGTTAAGTGCCGGCGCTCCGCTGCTGGCGGCCTGGGTTCGGATCCCAGGTGTGCACCGATGCACCGCTTCTCTGGCCATGCTGAGGTGGCGTCCCACATACAGCAACTAGCAAGATGTGCAACTATGACATACAACTATCTACTGGGGCTTTGGGAAAAAAATAAATAAAATTATAAAAAAAAAAAACAACAAATAATTCAAACAACACACACACATACAGGCAACCAAGATGCTGAAATGAATTTACAAATAGATGCAAAATTGGTCAATATCCACAGGGTAATAATCAAATCATCAATTGCATCCCAACGAACAAAATCCGTTGAAAAAATAAAATAAACTTGCTCTGACACTCTGGCTGGTTCATTAGTGGCTGAGCCACCTTGCCCTTCACTGCCTGTTCTCCCATCTTCCCAGCTAAGGCTCAGCTGCCCATGATACTCAATACTTTGCCTTTGACCTTCCCTGATTGTTTCACCTTGCCCAGGCCTGGCCAGCCTGCCCTTGGGCCGTACATTTCAATATCTTTCACATTTCCCCAATGATTATAATGTGCAGCCAGGGGGAGGACCCTGCAGTAGACCTTCGTATAAAGCTCTGTTAGCACTGTTATCACGCTGTATTGTAGCTATTTGTGAGTTGTCCCACCTGTGACAGAGAAGTCCTTAAGTACAGGATTCATGTTCTAGTTATGTTGGTAACTCGGCACCTAGCACACTGCCTGGCCTACAGTAGGGGCTTGAAAACTGTTGAATTAATAGTGCAATTGAATTGGATGATAACTCTAAGAAGTAAGCGGGACGAGTGGTGTTATTCTCCTCTTCTGATGAGGAAACTGACGCTTGGAAAGGCTCACACGATTAGCTGTGATGAAGTTGGGACTCACCCACTCATCCAACCTTACTTCATTCAGCAATTCCTGAGTACCTGCCGTGTACCAGGCCCTGGGAGCAGTGAGCTTCTGCCGTCCTTGCCCTCGGGACCTTACAAGCAGAGCAACACGGCTTAGAGAACGTGGGCGAGGTTGCCTGGGTTGTGCCTTGAAGTCAGCAATTATTAGCTGTGTGACCCTGGACAAATTACTTTACTTTTCTGTGTTTTCGTATTCTCATCTGTAAAATGGGGAAGCCTACCATGAAAGGATTAAATAAGGTAATACGGTGTAAGATGTTTAGCACAGTTCCTGGCCCGGTAATCATCCGCAACTGTGAGCCTGTGACTCTGTTAAACACTGTGTCGGGTCCTGGGCTGCAGAGATGAGGGAAACTTGGATCCTCCCGTTGCTTGCGAAACTCAGTCTAGTGGGTGGAAAGAGCCTCAGTAGATCGTCATCAGGGGATGTGCTAAGGGCCGTGATAGGGATGTGAGGAGGAACATGGGAGCACAGCGGGTGGGAGGGGGAGCTGGAGAGCAGGAAGAGCCTCAGTAGATCGTCATCAGGGGATGTGCTAAGGGCCGTGATAGGGATGTGAGGAGGAACATGGGAGCACAGCGGGTGGGAGGGGGAGCTGGAGAGCAGGACTCCTGGGGAGCTGAGTCTTCAAGCGTTAGCAATTGGCCCACATGGGGGGCCCATTAGGAGGCTGCTGCAGTGGCTGAGGCGAGAAGATGATGAGGCCCCAGCAAGGCCACAGCAGAGGAGGCGGGGATGGGAGAGAGAGTTAGCTGGTGGAACTGACAGGAACGAGATGTTGATCAGAGGAGGCGATGAGGGCAAGAAGGTGCCAAATCTCACGCTCCTCAGATGACCCCACGCTGCCTTGGGCAGGAGTTCTCTTTGTAGGTTTCTAACTTAATGCAGGGTGGAAGGGGACACGAGGATATGCCCCGGACAACCTGGGCCTTGCCCACCACACCTGAGAGGGGCCCACACGCGGGCATTTTTCTGGGCTGCAGAGCCCCGTCAAGGAGGACTAGTACTCAGGATTAATTTTTTATTTTGGCAATTACTGCCCAGGTCAAAAAAACATGTTTATATATTAGGAAAGATTAACAACTTATTTAAAATATTTATCGTGCATCTGCCTGTCTTGTCGACTTTGGGGAACCTCGCTCTCTACCTTCAGGGAGCACAGTACAGTGCTTTTATGCTTTAGCTTTTAGCCTCATGCCCCTTTTTGAAACAAAATCTCACTGAAAATGCCCAGTGTGTTGAACAGATGTAAATGAGCTGCTTTGATGGAACTGATGGCCGGGAACCGTGCCCACCCCGCCCTCCTCCATGGCACCAGAAGACTCCCAGAGCCCTATACCACAGTCTGGCCCAGTGGTTCTCAAAGGGAGCTCCCTGCACCAGCAGTGTGGCCATCACCTGCCCTTTTAGAAATGCAGAGTCCCAGGCCTCACCCTATACCTGCTGAATCAGAACCTCTGGGAGTGAGGCCTGCAGTCTGTGTTTTAACAAACCCTTCAGTCAATTCCGATGCCCAGAAATGGGGAGTGACTCGCCTTAAGTCATTTGGGAACTTTAATGGAATTCAGTTATTGAGGGTCTAATGTGTGCAGAATCCTAGAGTATGAGCTGCAGGGGGTACCAAGAAGGTTAAGTCTCTGTGTTAGTTATCTATTGCTGAGTAACACCTTAGTCCAGAGTGTAGCCACTTAAAGAACAGGGGCGTGAATCTGGCTGCAGGCTCGTGGGGTCCTCTGTGTCAGGGTCCCTCACAAGGCTGCAGTCAGCGTGTTGGCCAGGGCCTCAGTCATCTCAGGGTTCAGCTGGGCAGGATCCCCTCTCAGTTCACTCAGTGGTGGTTGGTAGGATTAAGATCCTTCGGGATGGCTGACTGACAGCCGTGGTTCCTTGCTGGCTATTGGCCCAAGGCCACCCTCAGTTCCTTGTCACATGGGCCTCTCCCCAGGGCAGCTCACAACACGGCAGCTGGCTTCCTCAAAGTGAGCAAGCAAGAGAGAGTAAGAGAGGGTGCCCAAGACACAAGTCATAGTGATTTATAACAACCTTGTGCTCTATTCTATTCATTAGAGGTGAGTCACTAGATCCAGCCCACATTCAAGGGGAGGGATTATACAAGGGCATGAATATCAGAAGTGGGAATCTTAAAAGATCCCACAGTTCCTGTCTCTGCCCTTGCATTTATAATTGGAGCATCAAATAAGTACACACCTAACTGTGGAATCAGTTAGAGGACGGTGCATAGGGGCAGGCACAAGTTCAATGGCTGTTCACAGAGAAGTAAAACACTCTGGCTGGAGGAATCTGGAAGGCTTCCTGGAGGAGGCGGCGTTAATAATAGACCTTGAGGGAATGGAGGACATGCCACTGGCTGAGGAGGGGAGGCCAGGTGGAGGACATAGCATAGGCAAAGGCAGTGAGGTGGGAAAGTAAAGGGCCTGCTCAGGGGTCCAGGTATCAAAACCATCCAACTTGGGTGGAGCCTAGAGAGAGCCAGGGAGAATAAAGCTGATGATGGCGATTGGAGCCACAACACGAATGGTTTCCATTGTTAGATGTAGGCGCTCTCGCCTTGACTGGGGATAGGGGATGGGGGCCAGGAGCTGGGAGAGGCATGGCTTCTATTACTAGCGGGGCCAGGACTGAGGGGCTCCCAGCCCAGTGCTCCCTTGCCCCACCAGCCTGGCCCTGAGGTCTACACCCCATCTCCTCTTGCAGTTTGGACGCACTGAAGTCATCGACAATACGCTCAATCCTGACTTTGTACGCAAATTCATTGTGGATTACTTCTTTGAAGAGAAGCAGAACCTCCGTTTCGACCTGTAAGTGGAAGATGGAGCTGGGGGAGGAACCACCGGTGGGAGGTGGGGATACAGGAGATCCCCTTACCAGGGAGGGTGGGGGAGCTGTGATACTAGAGGAGGCCCAGGGCTGGCCTGGGATAAAAGTGACAGTTAACTGAAGTCCAGCCCCACCCTCATCAGGAGATGGAAAGGAGGTAGGGAGAGGCAACAAAGCTGCCCCCCCCCACCCCCCCATTGTCTCAGTTATGTGTGGGCAGCACTGAGCAAGCTACCTGGCCCTGGGGGGTGGTTGAGGAAAGATCTTGGGGGCAACTCTAGCTCTACCTCTGGGGAGCCCTTTTCTCCGCAGGTAACCAGGGGATCCCCATTGACCTCTCCCTCTGTCCAAGCTTGTTTGGGAGAGGGTCCCCTCCACTCTCCCCTCCCACAGAGGTATCCAGGCTGATGGGGCTCAAGGCATCTGCGTGTTCATCACAGAGATGCAGAGGGCCCCTCTCCTGAGGGTAAGGATGATGGTGGATTTCAGTCTACTGAACAGGTGGGGCAGTGTTGTGTTTTTTTTTTACGGGATGTGGGGTGGCTAGAAAGGACTGTGTCCCGGAGAATTGTGGACAGAGTAGGGAAAAAGGGAGTCTGGGGCCTGGGGGAGCAAAGGAAAAAATGCAGTGGAAGGAAATGACCTTAGAGGGAGTCACGGGAGGACTTGAGGCCGAGGGCAGTCAGTGCAGCCTGTTGTAGAGAAGGCGTCCAGTGACGTTATGGAGAGAGAAGTCCGCAGGGTAGGGGGCTGGTACGAGAATGACTGCCCCTCAGCTGGAGTCATCCTGGCCTAGAATGGCCGGGTGAGTGGGGAGGATGCCGGAGGAAGGGCTCCAGGTGAGTGGGCTCCAGGTGAAGGGAGGTGACCAGCTGCGGGATCAGCCTGTCTGCAGCTGGCCGAGGTGACGGTGTTAATGCCTACCTCCTTCTTGAGTGACCAGGCCCAAGGGCAGGCTGGGAAAGGTGGAACAATCAGGGAAGCTCAAAGGCAAAGTATTGAGTATCACGGGCAGCCGAGCCTTAGCTGGGAAGATGGGAGAACAGGCAGTGAAGGGCAAGGTGGCTCAGCCACTTGTGAACCAGCCAGTGTCAGAGTAAGTTTTATTTTTTGGATTTTTTTTTTCTTTCTCTTTTTTTTTGTGAGGAAGATGAGCCCTGAGCTAACATCCACGCCAATCCTCCTCTTTTTGCTGAGGAAGACTGGCCCTGAGCTAACATCCGTGCCCATCTTGCTCCGCTTTGTATGGGAGGCTGCCACAGCATGGCCTGACAAGCGATGCATCAGTGCGTGCCCAGATCCGAACCCGGGCCTCCAGCAGCGGAGTGCGCACACTTAACCGCTACGCCACAGGCCGGCCCCTATTTTTTCAATTCTTAATGAGGTATAACATATATGTAGTGAAGTGCGCAAACTCCGTGATGCATTTTTACATCTGTGTACACCCGTGTAATCACCACCCAGATCAGGACACAGAGCATGTCCAGCACTCAGGAGGCTCCTATTTGCGCCTCCCAGCCATTACTCTCAGAAATATCCAGTGTGTCAGAGCCTGTTTTTTGGCGAGCAGGGGTCCTGACTTGGCTCAAGAGCCCAGATGGGGTTGGGCAGGCCGCCCCGGCTGCCTTCCCTATCTCTCTGTGTTCCCTGCAGGTACGACGTTGACTCGAAGAGTCCTGATTTATCCAAACACGTGAGTCCCGCCCATGACCGCCCAGAGATTCTGAAAGTCTCTTAAATACCAGACTCTGAGTCTCTGTGACACCGAGTGTGGCAGTCTGATGCTGCATGCTGTTATTTCAGAGCTCTCGCACTTCCGGGGGGGTGATGGGGGTGGTGGGATGGCTGAGAGCAGAGTGGGTGACACTGGTCTTTTCTGTACCCTGATGCAGGATTTCCTGGGCCAGGCCTTCTGCACCCTTGGAGAGATTGTGGGGTCCCCCGGGAGCCGCCTGGAGAAGCCCCTCATGTAAGTGTAGAGGGGAGTGGGGCCTGCCTGGGTTGCTTCCCCAGTGACGGGCCAACTTCTCACCCACCCCTGCTGAGGGCTGGCCCAGGGTAGGGGCAAAGCAGTCGGCCAGTCATGATGGATGATGAGGGATAAGGAGACCCCACAGGGCAGGGTGGTCAGGAAAGGGGCATCAGGCTGGGCTGGGCATCAACCCCCCACTTGCTTCTGCCAAGTCTACACTGGATGCTGTCCCCTCCCCATGATCGATAACTGCAGAATGTGTTATTGTTGCGGGGGTCTCTCTCCCAGGCCTTTGTCTCTGACCCCTAGTAACTGTATGGTAACTTCAGGGACCCCAGAAAGGCCTCCCTGCCCCCCAGAAGATCTCCTCCTCTGGGTTCACAGAAAATAATGATAATAACTCTCAGTTATTGACAACAGGGAGCAAACCCAGGTTAGAGAGGGACTCTGAAGCTTGTAGAATTTGGGGCCCCCAGAGTAAGTGTGTGTCCCTGGTCCACCTTTGGTGGAGGGGAACACCTTCTGGGGGGATTGAGGGAGACTTCGGGTAGGAGATGGCTAGTGAGCTGAGCCTTAAAGGGCAAGCGGGATCTAGGAGATGTTGGGTGTTGGTGAAGGAGGGGGACCTTTCCCCCACTGAAAGTTTCATGTGTCTAAGTCTAGTTGTGACCCTGGCTGGACCTATGAACAGCTCCCTTTTACTGGGCATCTATTCTGGGCCAGACAGTGTTTTGCTTCCGTGATCCCATGTGATTCTCTCAGCAGTCCCCCCATTTCACAGCCCACACACCGAGGCTCAAAGAAGGAGAGCAGAGGTTCTCGAACTCCTGCAGGCATCGGCGTCATCTGGAGGCTGGCTTGTTAAAGCACGGAATTTTTGGGCTCCACTCCCCAGGTTCTGATCCAGTAGGTCCAGGCTGGGCCCTGAAAATGTACATTTCTAACACATTCCTAGGGGATGCTGATACTGTGGGTCCAGGGACCACACTTTGAGAACCACTGAGGTTTGGGAAGAAGACTTCTCTTTCCTCTGGCCTGTGGCTTTCGGTCCTATTTTGATGTTTGATCCAGAATAGAAGCCTGTCTCCAAGAATCTGGATGCCAAGTGCTCTGGCTCTCAGGACAGGGGTACTCAGCTCATGGCATGCTCTCTCTTCTCTCCACAGGATAGGAGCATTTAGCCTGAATTCCAGGACAGGCAAACCCATGCCAGCTGTTTCCAACGGGTAGGTCACCAGACATCTCTGGCCCTGGAGTCCTCAGACACCCAGCCAGCTCTGCAGAGGGGGCCTAAGAGTCTGGGCCTGGTCCCTGCTTCCGCCACTGTGCATGCAGCTCTCGTCAGGAGGATAGAGAGGGTCCTGGGTCCCTCCTCAAGGGCCCAGGCACTTTGGGCCACTCTGCAGCTGGCCCCTCCCCCATCCAGGCTAGAGCTCAGGCATCCCCAGCCCCAGTGACTCATGGGACTTTAGGGAGCAGAGTGGGGCTTTGAGTTAGGGGCCCTTTCCAGGAAGGTTTCCTCCACCTCCCACCTCTCTCCCTCTTTCCCACCCTTCTCTTTATCCCCTCATCCCCCTTCCCCCCACTGTTTCCACTGCTGGATTTCAGCCTCCTCCTCACGAGATAGATTCAGCTAAATCCTCACTTGTTGCATTTGCTCACCGGCTGCGCTGGGCCAGCCTTGCTCCCCCGGACCCAACCCTGACCATCTGCTTTTGGCTGGCCTCATGCAAACGTGGGCAACACAGACCCTCCCCACTCCTTCCCTCTCCTTCTTTCCTGGTTGGACTCACCCTGGCGGGGGGCAGGGTAGTCAACACCTTGGGGGACCAGCCCAGAGGTGCCCCCTGCAGATGAGCATTTTGGCTGGGTAAGCAGAGCTCCACTGGCCTTTGCTGAGGGCTCCCGGGAGTCAGGGTCCCAGCAGCTGGACTGGCCCCCAGATCAGCTAGATGTGGGATGGGGCCTCCATGGGACCCAGGGATGCTCACAGCCCAGGAAGGGTGTGGATGCTAATTTACAATGGGAGTAGATAAGCAGCAATGGGAGAGGGAGCAGAAGTCAGAGAGAGCAGCCAAGAGGGAGGGCGAGAAAGTCCAGAGGGAGGGAGGCAGAGGGAGAGAAAGGAAGGCCTAGCAGGTTGGGCTGGAGAGGAGGGAAGGAAAGATCAGAAATAGAAGAGGGGCTCAGAGGCAAAGGGAGGAACAGATGCAGAAACACTGGGCGGAGGAGGCTGGTGCTAGGATTCTATCTCCCCGGTCAAACAACTCATATCTTTACTACCAGGGAGGGCCAGACCAGCGGTGGGAGGGGCTTTGGGGCACTCAGCTCAGCTGCTTATGTCTAGGGGGACAAGCTGGCAGGCACTGCCACCTGACTGTGGCAGGGGAACCTCCAGATATGGCCCCTGTCTGCTCACCTGATTTGGAGAGATCTGGGCTGTCTCATGAGCCCCCAGGGTGCCGGCTCCCCTGCCTCCCTTGCCTCCTCTGTTTGGGAGCCTCTCCCTCCAAGAGCTGGCGCTGGGAAGAGCTCCATCAGTGGTTCTCAAAGTGTGTTCCACAGACAGCATGCTGGTGGCCCCGAGGCTGGCTTGAGGTGGGGCTGGATTTTATCAGCTTTGCACAATTGTGAAGCAAAAAGGGCAGGGAGAAAACGATACTCCTTGAGAGCCTTCTCTCTGCCAGGCACTGTGTGTGTACATTAGTAAAATGGATGCTGCAATCACACCCATTCTATGGGCTAGGAAACTGAGGCTCAGAGAGGTGCAGTTATGAGCCCCAAGTCACACAGCTGCTGGACAACCTGACATTTTCTTCTCCCTCCCAGTGGCCCCTGGCTGCACTGGGACCCCCCTGGGTTAGTCCCAAACATCAGAGTGGGATGGGCTGGTGTCTAGGGAGGGGTTCCTCCTGACCCAAGGAAGAGGTGCAGGTCCCCTGGGTGGAGCCCCACCCTGGGAACTTGCCCTCCTGGAGGGGATTCTCTGGGTGGGCTGACCTCATGTCGTGGTTGCCCACCTCATTGAGGAGCCGCCTGGTTGGCCGGGATCTCTCTCTCCCAGAGAGACCCCAGCCAAGGATTTCAAGGGGAGGTGGCCATGGGAGAGAGCCTAGGCAAGCTGCCACTGAGAGTATGTCAGCCTTCCTGCCTTGCTCCCTCTTGCTGCTCTCCCTCCCACCATGAATCAGAGCAGCTCAGAGCTGGAATGTTCTGGGACTCTGGGGGTCAGCTGGGTGCAGGGTGGGGTGGCTAGCCCATGAGGTCTTTTGCCCACAGAAGTGGTCTTTGGATGGAAAGTTTGAGAACCACTGGTCTGGAAGCCTCCGGGTGAGTCTGGATGCTTTTCCAATTCTAGGACTTTCACTGTAGACACTGCCCTTCCTGGCAGGCTCTTGGGAGCAGGGGGCGGGATAGCTGCAGGCTTGAGGGCCTGGCCCAGGAAGCAGTCACTAGGCCACACTGCCTCAAGTGTTTCAGGAGACTCTGTCTTCTCAGGGGCTTTGGGCAGATCTGCAGGATGGTGGGGGTGGGGGGAGGATGGGGAGGGGCTGATGCAGGGAGTGTTCAGGCCTGTGTCTCTGTCTTTGTCTGACTCTCCATTCTTTCATCTTCTCCTCTCCCAGTGGTGTCCCAGGGAAGAAATGTGGCACCATCATCCTGTCTGCTGAGGAGCTCAGCAACTGTAGGGTGAGTGGCAGAGGGACAGGACCTGGTGGGGGCAGGGGTGGGGCACTGATGGAGGGCAGGCTGGCCTCCCTGTGACCCCAGGACCATGAAGACACGGCTCCTCAGTCTGACCTGGCTGTCACAGAATTCTATAAGGTCAGAGCTAGAAGGCGTCTTCCATTTTTACAGCTGAACAGACTGAGGCCCAGAGAGGGGAAGGAACTTACCCACAGTCAGCAGAGCTGGGCTGGGAGCCCTGGCCCCCTGGCTCCCACGCCAGGGCTCCTTCCACTCCCATCACGGCCACCGCTCACGTGTCCTTGAGCCAAGATGGCCTTGGCACCAGTGCTGGCAGCAGCGGGGCCTTGTCAGCCTTGGAGCCTGGGCACTTGGCATTTAGTTGTCATTTTTCACTTTTAGCTCTGGAGTAAGGTGACAGCCTGCATGGGGTTGAGAGAGTGTGGTTAGTGTGTGTGTGTGTGAGAGTGTGAGTGTGGGTATGTGTGTGTGTTGGGAAGCCAGAGTCTGCAATCCCAGGCAGCCCTTGGTTTTGCTTCTTCTGTGGGACTTTGGAGAAGCAGGAGATGGGGACAGCTGAAGGGGTAGCTGAGCACACCAAGAAGGGGCTCAGGGGACCCCATGGCTAATAATAATGATAAAATATAGTAACGATGGTGGTTATTATTTGTCAAGTGATGGGCATTTTACGTAAGTTATCACTGCTCCTGACGACAGTCCTAAGAGGCCGGTACTATTGTTATTCCCATTTCATGGATGAGGAAAGTGAGGCTCAGAGAGGCTGATCATCTGTTCCAGGACAAGAAGTGGCAGAGTCAGGGTTCCAATCCAGGTCAGCCTGATCCTAAATCCTGGGCTCATTCCCCCAAACCATCCGGGCTTGCATGCCTCTCAGGTTAATTAGGAGCCACGGGTAGGAACGCAGTGGGTCCTAGGGAGAAGAGAGGGAAGCAGCGACAGAGTATGAGCACAAGACCAAGCCTGGGGTAACCTGGGCACCCAGCTTCAGGGGTTCCTCCTGACCCAGGGAAGAGGTGCAGGTCGCCTGGGTGGAGCCGCACCCTGGGAACTTGCCCTCCTGGAGGGGATTCTCTAGGTGGGCTGACCTCATGTCATGGTTGCCCACTTCACTGGGGCCGGGTCCAGCTCAGCGGAGGGAGGGAAGAGGAGAAACAAGACTTTCTGACCTTCCTGGGGAGTCAGTGCAACTATTGTACCCACTAGCTATCAATATTTGCCATCTTAGATATTAAAACTGAGAAAAAAATTTAGTGTTAATTTTTTTTAAAATAACAATAGTTTAACCCATTACAGGTTAACATAAATAACATCTTTTTTGAAAAATAACTATATTTTTCAAAACAAAAATCATTTAGTGAGAAGAACGGCCTTGTTTTACATTTTTGTAAATCTCTTTAATGTCTGGCTCAACAGAAGAGAGCTGGATTCTCACATCTGCTTCTGCAGTCAGTCTGTTGTGATATCACTGTCCGGTAACCTCTAGAAAACTCCATGTCTTATTAGCATTATTATGAAAATAGCTTTGGTCTCCTGGAACCCCCAGGGTTCCTGGTCCATACTTTGAGAACTGCTAGTATAGAGGTATAGTAGTGTTAGCCAACATTAATTGAGCAATTATTCTGAGCCACACACTGTGCTAAGTATCAACTTATCTTTACATGTGTCGACCTATTTATCTGATGTATTATAATATATAATGTAATATGTAGTATGACCTGTTATAATATGTGATGTATTACGGTCCTCATTTTACAGAGAGGTTAAGTGACCTGCCCAAGGGCACACAGCCACTGAGTAGAAGCGATTTGAACCCAGGCAGTCTGGTTCTTGAGCTAGAGTCTTTAACCACTAGGCTGTGGTATCTCAACTCTGCTTTCGGGGGCTTCCAGTTGGAGGATAAGACACAGAATCGATAGGACAGTATAGCAATGATCAGATTAACTCATAAGCCACTGCTCGTTCTGGTTTCTCTACTTGCCTGTTTAGCTCAGTGGGTCTAGAGGAACTTGACGGCAGGAATAAACCTCCCCCGATGTACAGACCAAATGTTTTGTAGCAGATGATTATGAAAACTCCTGTGTGTGCTGAGGATCCGGACGCTGCTGGAATTCAGACAAGGGAGAGAACGCAGCTGCAGTGTAGAACAGGGCTTCTCTTTAAGCTCCCTGAGCCTCAGTTTCTCCACCTGTATTTCCGGGCCGATAGGGTTGCTGTGAAGATTAAAGGAGATCATGAGGCGACATGCCCAACAGGTGCCTGGCTCCTAGTGGGTGCCCGGGAAAGGTTGAATCTGTGTTCCTTGGAGCATAAATTCAGTTTCCTCCAAGCTTCTAGCTCAGCAGGTGACTTCCTCCCGAATTTATAATTAAATAAGGTAATGTAAGTGAAAGTGCTTTGGAAATCCTAAAGCTCTAGACAGTGCTGGGTGCTGTTATTGGCCTAGTTTCCGGGGATTGGTAAACAGTCGGCGTTTAATACCTATCAGGCCCCTCCCTCTTCGTCCTCCTTCCCACCCCGCCCTCCCCTCCTTCATCCAGGGAGGGCAGCAGTTTCCTTCATTTAAGCTGTTGGGGGAGCGGGGCTCCCTTCCTTCCTCCTGAGACTGTCAGCCCCTTCTCTTTTGGGGCATCTTTGGCTGAGTCCTAACTTTCCTTAGAACACTTGCAAGGAAAAGAGACTAATCCCCAGCATCTGGCTGAATTAAAATAATTACCTCTGAACGGCTTAGCTTCTGTCATCGCGGCTCAGCATTCAGTGGGAGGATCAAAGGAAGAGGGTGCAGTCTGAGAGACAGCTTTTCACCGGAGCAGGGCATCCTGCTCAAAGGCATACATTCTGCTGAGGTAGACAAACCCTCCCTTCATCCTCGGGGAGGGCGTGGGCGGGTCGCCTGGCCCAGCCAAGCATGAGTGGACCCCAGCGGGTCACCCGCAGGCTGTGAGAGGTTGTAGAAAAGCCTCGCTCATCTGGAATTGAAATACCAAGAAAGGTCCAAACATCAGAATTTGATCCAAAATACTATTCAGTGGTACTTGATGTTGACAATGGTGGCTCCTGAAGGGCCTCTGAATCACCAGACAATTATGCTCAGCAGTAAACTATTGTTATTCTGTGTGACGCTGACCACCATTTGCATAGTCCTCATAGTTGACGAGACTCGCATATTTACAGTCTGTTTGGTTCTCACCCCAGGGCTGGGGGCTGGGGAGGTGTGAGTGACCTCGGTTTAGAGATGCAGAGAGGTCGATGGGTTGAAGTGGCCTGAATTTGCTGGGATTCTTAGACTCCTAATCCTTAGGGAGTCTTTCCTACACCCACGAAGCCATCAGCCTTTGTGGTACATGGAGCAGCCATGGGCCTTGTGGTCTTTGTGGACCAATAGCCTTGAGCAGGCTGGGCTTCTAGAGAGAGGCGGGGGGGGGGGGGGGGCGCAGGCGGGTGTTGCCAATGCGGGTAATAGGCAGCTTCCTGCCCTTCCCTTCCCAGACCCTTGGCTTCCCCTAGGCCTGCCAGGCGCCCAGACCTGCCTCTCTCTGGAATCAGGACTTCCTGGCTCAGGATAGCATGTCCTCACTGCCTGCCAGTCAGGTCCCTGCACACACCAGCAAGAGTGTGCCTCACCTCTCACCAGCCAAGGGAGTCAAGCTTCACACTGCAGCCATCCCCCAACCCCTTAGGTACCCCAGCCTGCTCATGTATTCATTTCATTTCAGCAAATATGCTTTGACTTAGTTATTGCCTTCCCAGAGTTTCCAATTTATGGTGAGAGACAGAAATGCCAATCAGCAATCACAGTACAGCAGTGGTTCTCAACCCTGTTTTTATATCAGATATTTTATAGCACTCTTTACTATCCTGAAGGAAAATTCGTGAATAATACTATATAATATGCCAAAAAAAAGTACAGGCGAGAGAATGAGCCCTTGCAGCTAACTGGGGGAAGATGGGTCTAGGCAGAGAGAATAGCCCATGCAAAGGCCCTGGGGCAGGGGGAGAGTGGTGAGTGATGTCAGAGCGGTGAGGGTGTAGGTGGGAGTAGGGACGAGATTGTACAGAACCTTGTAAGAGGGGAGCTTAGCAGCCTTGAATCCTGACAAAGTCAGAACGCTCATGGTTCTAAAGACAAACTTGAGGGAGAGCCCAGTGTCTCCATGTGGGACGCTGGGGAACAGTCCTGGGAGGAAGGGAGAAAGATAAGAAGAAAGAGGTAAGATGCAGTGGGGGGAAGTGGTGAAGGTTTTCTGAGACTCGAGGGATGCAGGGTGATGTTTAGGGAAGATGCACATTGTGGCTGCACAGATGTAAGTGTCCTGCATGGTGAATGACCAGCACGCGAACATCACCCTTTTAAAAGTTAGTTGTAATTTTTTTTTTTTAAAAGTTAGTTGTAATTTTTTGATCTTAGAAATAATTTCTCTGGCTAAAACAAAACAAAACAATAACATTTTCTCCTGATGCTAAAACAATAACGTGTTCATTATGAACAAGTTGGAAAATACAAAGAATAGAAAAATCACCCAGAGATAATCATTGTTGACATTTTGATGCATTTCCTCCAAGGCTTTTTTCTGGGTGTACATGTATATAGTTTTTTCTTGTAATTAGTAGAATATAGTATCCAGATTTATTTTATTTATTAGTAGAATAGAGTATCCAGATTTATTTGCCCGTGTCATCGACATTCTTGGAAAACATGTATTCAATAGCTGCATATTATTCCTCTATGATATGGATGGGCCATAATTTATTGAATCTATTTTCTTATAGGAAACAATATAATTAATACTGCAGTGAACATCCGCATAGCCGAATGGGTCCATTTTTCTTTTGAACTTTAGTTGGTGGATTTTGGTTAGTATCCCAGACACACAGGCTTAATGAGTGGGTGGGGAAATGGTCAATCTGGAGTTTTCAGCCTCTGAATGACCAAATCAACAGATGCACAGCTGATTGGATCGGTGGAGAAGTTGGTCATTAAGATG